GTGTCTATTCATGTCTTCTACCCAGTTTTCAATCGGATTGTTTATTTTTTGGTGTTGAAATGTATGAATTCTTTATAAATTTTGGATATTAACCCTTTATTTAATGTATCATTGGTGAACATGCTCTCCCATTCAGTGGGTTGTATTTTCATTTTGTTAGTGGTTTCCTTTGCTTTGCAAAAAATTTTTAGCTTGACATCGTCCCATTTATTTATTTGCAGAAAAGCTAGTCTTAATAAATGCTTAAAGTATTAGGACATTTCTAATCTCATGAGATAAGAAGTCCAGAGGTGAAAGGGCACCAGTCCCCAGAGATCAGGAGTTGGCTCAGTTTCTCTGCTCTTTTTTCAACCCCTACTCTTCGCTCTCCAAAGTCCAGAGCAAGATGGTTGCAGCAGTTTCAGGCACAGCCAGGTGAAACAAGATCCAGTGAAGGTAGAAACCACCTTTTCCTTGTGTCTTTTTTTTTTCTTCCAGAGAGGAAGGGAGAGGGAGAGAGAGATAGAAACATCAATGATGAGAGAGAATCATTGATTGGCTGCCTCCTGCATGCCCCACACTGGGGATCAAGCCCAAAACTCGGAATGTGCCCTGAGCGGGAATTGAACCATGACCTCCTGGTTCATAAGTCGATGCTCAACCACTGAGCCATGCCAGCCCGGGCCAGGATTCTTATGATAGCGTCCCAGAAGTGAGATCACTGGATCAAATGGCAGTTCCATTTTTAATTTTTTGAGGAAACACCATACTGTTTTCCATAGTAGCTACACTAGTGTGCATCTCCACCAGCAGTGCACTAGGGTTCCCTTTTCTCCACATCCTCGCCAGCACTTATCATTTGTTGATTTGTTGATGGTAGCCATTCTGACAGGTACGAGGTGATACCTCATTGTCATTTAAATTTGCATCTCTGATGATTAATGACCTTGAGCTTTTTTCATATGTCTCTTGGCCATCTGTATGTCCTCTTTGGAGAAGTTTCTATTTAGATCCTTTGCCCATTAAAAAGCTAAGATCTGGAAATAGCCCAAATGCCCATCAATTTGAGTGGATAAAAAAGATGTGGTGCCCTGGCCAGTGTTCTCAGTGGTTAGAGCATTGGCCTGTGCACCAAAAGGTCTAGGGTTCAATTCCCAGTTAAGGTTACATACCTGGGTTGCAGGTTCGATCCCTGGTCCCAATGGGGGTGCACCAGGGCCTCATGAGGGAGGCAACCAATCGATGTGATAGACAAATCGATGTTTCTCTCTTTCCCTTCCATTCTCTCTAAAAAAATTTCCTTGGGTGAGGATTAACAACAACAACAAAAAAATGTGGTACATTTACACAATGGGATACTATGCAGTTGTAAAAAAGAAGGATCTCTTATCCTTTGAGACAGCATGGAGGGAGCTGGAGAATATTATGCTAAGCTAGTCCAAGAAAGACAAATATCCCATGATCTCACTTATATGTGGAATCTAATGAACAAAATAAATTGACAAACAAAATAGATCCTGAGACACAGAAGCATGCAACAATGTGAGGAATTTGGGGGGGAGGGGCGTAGTACGGGAAGAGATTAACCAAACAACTTATATGCATAACCCATGTACACAGACAGTAGTTCAGTGAAGGCCTGGGGCAGGGATGGGAGCGGGATGGAGGGCCTCATAGGGAGGGTGGGGGAGGAGGAAGAGGGATATCTGTAATACTTTCAACAATAAAGATATTTTTTTAAGTAAAGATAATTTCCTATGTAATGACGCTGTTATTACACTTAACAAAATCCAGCTTTCTTATATCTCCTTCAGGGCAGGGAGGTCCTATCATGTTGGGGAAGGCTTCAAAAACAGCCTACTAGGGACTCTTTCCCCTCCCCACATGGGAGTCTGTGCTGTGAGATTCTTTCCCCTTCCCCGCGTGGGAGTCTGTGCTTGTTCTTCAGTAAATTTCCACCTTTGCTATACCATCTTCCATCCGTGGATTCATTCTTCGACTCCGATGGACAAAGAATCCAGGGAACCATCCTGCCCAGGGGAACACCGCGTGTTCCAGTCCCAAAATCCCGTAGCGGAAGCATATCTGTCTTCTGTTTCTCTGAACTTGTAAAAGGTTCACCATTAGACTGCATATGCTGAATTGGAACTTTTTGTTGTTTCTGAATAAACCCATTTTTGCTGGAGAAATATCTGGCTATCTATTTGTTAAAGGGCAACAAGTTAAATAAAACTCTACAGCTTTTAGAATGTTAAAAAAAAGAAGAAGAAGAGCCTACAAGAAAGTTTGGAAACAACTTAAATATCCATCAATAGACTAGTTAAGTAAATTGAGATATAGCCATACTGGAGAATACTGGGGAATATTAAAAAATATGACATAGTTCTATACATGGAAATATTTCTACATTATCACTAGTTGTTGTTTTTTTTAAAGTGTAGCCCTGGCCAATGTGCTCAGTGGTTAGGGTGTCAACCCCCGAACCAAAGTGTTGTGGGTTCAATTCCAAGTCAAGGGTATGTACCTGGGTTGCAGGTTTGATCCCCAGCCCCTGTTGGGGACTTGCAAGAGGTAACCAATCAATGTGTCTCTTTCACATCTCTCTCTCTCTCTCTCTCTCTCTCTCTCTCTCTCTCTCTCTCTCTCTCTCTCTCTCTTCTCTCTCTCAATGAAAAAATATCCTCCCTCCCTCTCTTCCACTCCATCTAAAAATCAATGGAAAAAATATCCTTGGGTGAAGATTAACAGAACAAAAACCATGTCTCAAAATAGTATGTACAGTGTGGCCCAATTCTTGCTTAAAAATGCATGTGCCTGTGTATGCACAGTAAAGAAGTCTGGAAGGATATAAATCTGAATGGTAATAGCACTTGATCTTGAGTGGCAGGATTATGGATGCTGTTTTCTTTCTTTATACATTTCACCAAAAACGTTTTACTATTTGGGCCTTTGGCTATAAACAGGCAATAGAGTAGGTGCCCCTTCTGATACAGGAGAGTAGGTATCGGGGAATGCAGCCGGGGAGATGTGGTCTTTGGACTGTAGACTTGTAACATGCAAAGTGCCTGGCATCTTTGTTTTATAAGTATGGGAAGGTAATAGTCAATAATAAACTGTCATACTAATGGAGTTCTTGTAATAACACTGAAAAACTATCTGTGGCTTTCTTTGGGGGATCTTTAGGTTTGTTTTTTATTGTGGTAAAATATACATAACAAAATTTACCATTTTATTTCTAAGTGTACAGTTTAGTAGCATTAAGTACATTCACATTGTGGTACAACCATCACCACCATCTCCAGAACTTTTCATCATTCCATACTGAATCCCTGTACTCATTAAACACAAACTCCCCAATCCCCTCCACCCTCAGTGCCTGGGAACCACTATTCTCCTTTCTGTCTCTATGGATTGGACTATTCTAGGTACCTCATAGAAGTGGAATCATACAATGTTTGTCCTTTGTGATTGGATTATTTCCCTTAGCATAATGTCTTCATGGTTCATCCATGTTGTAGCAGGTATCAGTATTTCATTGTGTTTTTTTTTTAAGTCTTAACTAATATTTTGTATGGGTATACCATATTTTGTTTGTCCATTTGCCTATTGATGGCCATTTGGCTTGTTTCCACCTTGTGGCTTTGTTTTTAAATGACTATGCTTTCGGGATCTGGTTTGAACTCAGGTATTTCACACCTAGAAAGATTCTGTAGCACAGAGAATCCAGAGTGAGAATGAAGGAGAGGGAGACAGAGCAACAGTGCTGCTTCATGTGACTTGAAGGGGCAGCTTTCAAAGAAGAATGCAGAAAACCAGTAATTTTAAGGATCTTGATTTTTTTCTCCAAAAATTCTTTTTCTCCCTATATTTCTCCTGGGTCAATCACCTAATGAAAGAGAAGCAGTAAAAACAACTGACAACTAACTTGGACTCTCTCTTCTAACTCTTCTCCTGATGTGATGTGTTTGTTTTGTTTTGTTTTTCACTGCTCAGTAAGCATGTAGTTCTATCTCTTAATGTGACATTGCTTTTCTATGAGCTTAGCTATAATTTAGATGAGTTCTGTTGGATTATTTATACACATGGAATTCATGTATTCCTTCATTGAGAAACATATTTCTTCAACATCAACTATGAGCCAACTGTGCCAGCAGGAGGATCTAATGCCTTGTCGAAAATTAAACGTTCAGCCCAGCTGACATGGCTCAGTGGTTGAGCGTTAACCTATGAACCAGGAGATCATGGTTCAATTCCCAGTCAGGGCATGTGCCCGGGTTGTGGGCTCGATCCTCAGTGTGGGACATGCAGGAGGCTGCTGATCAATGATTCTCTCTCATCACTGATGCTTCTCTCTCTCCCTCTCCCTTCCTCTCTGTAATCAATAAAAATATTTTTTAATGTAAACGTTCATTCTCAGAAGATACAATTAAACTCTGTGGCATATTAAGACATTATTAATACCTTAATAATATTAATATAAATACTAAGAAACTGACCTGGCTGTGGGGAAAGGGACTTGTGGCCCCTCATTGGGACAATCGTTTTTCCTGCCAGTATGTTAACAATCTCATAAAGCCAGAGTTTAGTAGCAAAAAAAAAAAAAAAGTGTTTGTAGGGCTGTCTTTTGTCATGATTGTCAGTTGGTTTGAACTTGTTTACCGGGTTGACCTTCCTGTCAAGTTCCACCTTCAAAGAGAAGCAACTACATGGCAAGTACAGATAACTTCCATGCAAGTGGTGGAACGGTTATGACTGACCTCGCAGAAGACTGTGCCGCGTTACTGTACTTCACGTTCCGCCGGCACTGTGGCCTTCCCCCTGGTGCCCCGATTCAAGCAGGCCACAGCCTCGGCCCCACCAGAGCTGTGGAGAGCTGGTCGCTGCTGACCTCAGCCTGAATGTTCCCCTGGTGCCAGTCTGCCCCTGCCCTGGAAAGGCCGCTTGGGCTGCCTCCTGCGCTCTGCTCGGGGCGCTCTGCTCCCTCAGAAGGGCTTATTCTGTGTGTTCTCTCTTGCCCTTAGACCATCATCTGCAAATAGCATAAGCAGCACCACGTCTTCAAACCACAGCGGCTGCGCTCCGGAAGCCCCTGTGCCCCCCGCTGCAGGTGACCTCGCCAGCCGACTGTCAAGTGATGAAGGGGAGATGGATGGTGCCGACGAATCCGAGAAGTTAGACTGTCAGTTCTCCACCCACCACCCTAGACCTCTTGCGGTAGGCCACCGGGCATCTCCCTCCGTGCATTTCCCTTGTGCTTCGTGGGCATGTAGGTGATGGTGTCAGGGGACACACATTCCTCAGGGGAGGGATTCGGGACAGCGTTTTATGGGAAGGCTTAACCTGAGATTGAATGATTGCCTTAGAAATACCCTTGAAAATCACAGAAAGAGGGGGTCCCCGGCAGATTATAACCCTTTAAACACCTGAGTGTTTGTGGCCCACCTTGAAGCCTTCGTGCTTCAGGAGCAGTGTTTATGTGAGCGCACTGGGAGGCGGACCTTCTGGCTTTGCCCATCTAAGAACGGAGCCTCTGATTTCAGGAGTCAGTCTGGCTCACCTGCGTCGAGAACCGTCTGTCGTAGCAGTGCCAGGTGCCAGCCCTAGCTGGTTGTCTCCCCTGTTGGTTCTGAGTTTTATTGTTATTAGTAAGTGTGTCCATATGGCACTGGTACTGAGTGTGTGTGTGTGTGTGTGTGTGTGTGTGTGTAAGGAAAGGGGGAGGCATTTCACATCGGTGTGATTGCTGATGAACAGAAAGGTCCATGTCTTCCCAATCCTTGAAGGAGTCCACTTTAACAACTCAGATCATCGAAATCGAGGTGGGGAACATAAGGAGGCAGGAGCTGGAGGCTTGTCTGTGTTTGCCGTGCGAGCACCTGAGAAGGAGATGCCTGGTGCTGCCTTCCCTGAGCTGAATGCAAGGGGCCTGGAACACAGGGCCCACAGCCGGTCTCCTCTGGGGCCAGCAGGATTCCTGTAGCAATGGTGTTGACTCTTCCTAGAGCTCAGGGGCTGTGTAGGTGAAATCAGCCTGCATCGAGATAGAGCGACTCCTTCTTGCCTCCTGTCGGTGAGAGGAGTGAAGGCCACATTCACTTCCTGCTGCTGGGAATGATGGTGGCCTGGACCCGCAGCCTGAGACCTTTGCCTCTTAGCTATTTCAGAAATAGTGAGGGACAATCAGGAATGCCTTTGACTGCCAGTAACAGAAAACTCAACTCATACAGTGCATGCACTACGGTCGCCTAATTATCTCGTATAACAAGAAGTCTAGAGGTGGGAGGTTCCAAGCGGAGGGGAGCTCTGTGCAGCCTCTTCCCCTTTCATACCTGGTCTCAGTATGTCTGCTCCAACCCTCACCCAGTAGCATTTGCACGGATGGAAAGGGACAAATAGAAAGGGAGTCTTCTCCTAAGGTGCTATTTTATATCATTTCATTGGGAAGAAAATCTTCCTGAACCCTCCCCCCCCCACCACCAGATTTCCCCTGCCATCTGCCAGAAGTGGGTCACATGCCCACCCCTGTGCCACTCGACAACAGAGAAGGATGGGATTGCAGTGGCACAGGATGGAGCCAGCACGATTCACCCCAAGGTTCTGGGAAGAGACCCACCTTCCCTGCTCACTGCTCCATGTCACATATCAGAGCAAAAGTGTGGTTCTGTTAGCAAGAAAAAGGCAGGGAGAGGTGGGAGTTGGTGGCAGTTGATGAGATTGGCAACCTGTGGAGTCTGACATGGTGGCCAATGCAGTGAGGATCTGCGGCTCTGCCAAGACGTAATATGCAAACAGGAATATTATTCCTGTGGCACCTGGCCTTGCATTTCTATGGAATGAGAGATACAGACAGCAAAGACAAAAAGGTGCCACCCCGCCCCCCTCTGCCCAGGGCAGAGAGAGAGACTGGACTCTACCAGAAGACCAAAGCCTGGAGCACATCAAGATGTTTGTCCAGCCCCGGGTGACTCATGTGGTCCCATGCACCGAAAGGTCACTGGTTCAGTTCCCAGTCAGAGCACATGCCCAGGTTGCCGGCTTGATCCCCAGTAGGGGGTGTGTAGGAGGTAGCTGACTGATGTTTCACTCTCACGTCCATGTTTCTCTCTCTCTCTCCCTTCATCTCTCTCTAAAAATCAATTTTAAAAATCTTCAATAAAAAAGAAACAACATGAACAGTTCTAGTGATCATCAAAAAGAGCAATATTTTTTAAAGATGTTTGTCCAGATGACAAGCTGCCAGGCTACAGAGGATTCGAATCACTGGACCCTCACACAGCGGATTTGTGTGCCCTTAATGTTTTGCTGATTTAATGGAAAGGCCATGGATTTGTTTCTTTGCTTTGTCCTTTCTCTCATGGTCAATTGCTATATTAAATCATTTTTGTAATGAGCCCTGGTTCAGTGTGTCTTTAGCAACTGGGATGAAGGAAGAAAAGATGTCTCGACCTGGAAGAGCTCCCACTGGATGCTGGGGACCAGCTTCCACGCTGGGGAGTCCCCTTTGTATGTTTTCTTGCTTGGTCAATAAGCACTTCATATGAAAGTGCAAGAGAGAGTTTTCCGTCAGAAGTGCCAGATTTGATGGGTAGCAATATTTGAATACAAAAGCCCCCAAGCATAAGCAGGAACCAAACAAAGGGAAGGTCTTGCATTTGCTCCTGAGAGCTGTTCCAAAGGCAGGTTCCAGGAAGGGTTTGTGGAATGAGTGCCAATCCAACACTGTGTCTGGGACGGAGGCCAGGAGCTGCTGGGAGGCCTGGGGAAAGAGAGAGAAGCCGCATTTGAGTTATAGAGTCATTTGCAGACTCGTCTGAGCTCTAGACCAGCCAAATGTCACCTTCTCAGAGGCCACTTCTTGCATTTCTGGTTGTCCTAACACCATAATAAAATGATGTTTATTAAACATCTAACTGCCTATATTTCAGCCATATGTTTTCAGTGTGATGGTTTGATTTAAACATTGTGTGGGACCTTATCTCTCTAATGCGTCGTTTAGCCCAAATCCCTCCTATCCTCATATTGAAGAAGATAATTGGCCCTCTGGCCTTTATACATTTATAATCAAGTCAGGCACATAGGCATTACATGTAACATAAAACTATGTGGTGATTCCAAGGTGAAAGGCAATAAAGTATGCAATATGTGTGGGGTGGGAGTTCATAGATAGGCAAAGTTACTCAGATGAAGACCACTGGAAATGGGAGTCTCGATTAGGGCGCTGAGGGAGGGGAAAATTGGCATTGATAGAGAAGAGGGAAGAAGACAGGCAGTCGGAACAGCAGAGTATAAGCTTGGAGGCAGTGATGTGTCCCCACCCCCGGGCAGCCCACAAGTGCTGACGGGGGAGGAGATGAGGTCAGGACTGGGAAAGGAGAAGTATAGTCGAGTCAGAAGTGAAAAGACTCTGTTGACAACAGATAGGAAAGGTATGATCAGTTGGCAGAAGAACATCAGAATGAGGTGTTTCCATTACTATAATGAGAAGTAAAGACCCACCAAGTTCCTTAAGAGGATGGATGAACCCTGGCTGGTGGGGTTCAGTTGGTTGGGTGTTGTCCCTCACACCAAGAGGTTACTGGTTCGATTCCCTGTCCAGGCACGTGCCCGGGTTCTGGGCCCAATCCCTGGTAGGGGGCATGCAGGAGTCAGCCGATCAATGTTTTGCTCTACTATCAATAGTTCTCTCTCTTCCTCTTCGTTCCCTCTCTAAAAATCAATTATAAAACGTTAAGAGAAGGAAGGAAGGGAGGAAGGGAGGAAGGGAGGAAGGGAGGAAGGGAGGAAGGAGGAAGGAAGGAAGGAAGGAAGGAAGGAAGGAAGGAAGGAAGGAAGGAAGGAAGGAACATGGATGATTCAATAGGCAGGTGGTGCTAAAAAAAAATCCTGGTTGCTGAATGTTGTTGGTTTGGGAATGTTGGCTCAGTCCCAGATATAGAGAAGGTAGCCCTCTGTGCTATAGAAAATTAAATGTTACTATTGTTGAGTCATAATGTGATGTTCTGCAGAAAATCTAGAGCTCAAACTAAAGCACTATAGAAATATTTTTGGCTCCAGTACTATTTGCTTCCTTATTTTGAGTAAAATTGTACCCCTGTGTGTTTTTATGCAAATGTTATTTTTCTCTGTATGGTTTATATTAGCTTAGTAACCTGTAATCAAAATTAAAATGTGTTTTTTCCCCTCACAGTTTTGCTCATTCGGGAGTCGCCTCATGGGACGAGGGTACTATGTGTTCGATAGAAGATGGGATCGTTTTCGATTCGCACTAAACTCCATGGTAGAAAAGCACTTGAATTCACAGATGTGGAAGTAAGTGAGCAGTTTTTGTGCAATGTGAGATCAGAGCTGCCCCACAACTATCTGAACCCCAGCTTTCTAAATGAGTGTCAGTAATTGGCTCTTCACAGAACAAAATGATTCTGAAGTCAGGATTCATGATAAATTCTTAACTGTCAGCTCTTGAGGGCCTGCCTACGGTGTTCCAGAGACACGTATGATGTGTGTTATGCTTTGTCGTCTTTGTGTTGGTAATCTTCTAAATGAAAAGGGTATTAGATACGAGCTTATTTAACAGTTACAAAAGGCCTCTTTTGCTGTGAGTAAGAACATGTAAGGATGTTAAGAATATGTTTCTGTTTGTAATATTAAGGCTACAATGCCAATACTAAAAATGTCAGAATGGTTATGGACCAATTTCTAATTGCTTAATATCCTATGAAAAAAACATGTCCATCGGCCAGCAGGGCAGATCCTGAGTGATGTTGTGAAGGTGGTTAAGCTTGTCTTTGGCCCTTCCCACCTCCCTAGACCCCGCTCCTCTCCTCTGCTCACACTGCTCTCTAACCTAAACCCAAACTGACGTTCCGTGTCTCTCGTGTCCCTTTATTCTCCAACACCCCCCGATGTATTTACATTTTCATAGGAGTTTCATAAAAAAGGAAGAAATCTTCTTGACTTAGGAAAATGCTATTGTGAAGCAATGACAGGCTAGAGACCCTCTCAAACCACAGCACATACGAAACTGCCCTTCTGGCCACTTGATAACACAAGACCAGCCTGCTGCCTATCCCCACCCCCACTCCTGCACAGGTGAGCTCTTAAGATATCACAATCCATTAGAAGCGTAGCTCCCTCAGATCTAAGCCCAGATGGTTCAGGAACGCCAACTCTGAACCCCTCCCGCTGCCCAGCGGAAGCCAGTAAAGGCAAGGACGGCATCCCTAAGAACTAAGAGGGCACTGGCAGCGGGGATGGGAACCGAATTCAAAACCTGCCCCTCTCCCAGGCAGCTGTGATGCCCAAAGAGCTTCCAGACCTGAACTTCTAGGAGGAGTGAGCTCTCACAGTGGACTTAGGACTAAATGTTAACACTTCCTGTACAGTAGGAAAGGGCCATAGAGAAGCTTATCATTTCTTCCCATTTGAGTGACTGCCCAGTGTGCCTTAAAGGCACCCTGGACACCTGGTGTGTTCCTCCTAAACACCAGTCGGTGCTGCATGCGGGGTTGCCGAGCCCGGGGGTGCTGGTTCATTTGTCCTTCTGCGACTGTTTCCCCACGGTGATGGCAGCCGGCCTTGGGATTCTCGCAACTCTTTGCTCGGCTGTGTGGTGGAAGTGTAAAACCCAGGCACGTGGAAGGAATGTGTTGATCTGTATTGCGCTACCTGGTGTCCTGTCAGCTCAAGCTCCATATTCCTTTCCTCCTCAGGCACAGAAACCCGAGCCACAGGGCGTCAGGTCCCTCCCCCCTTTTCAGGACTTGCCTAACCAACCTACTGTCACTGAGCAACATTGGGGCTGCCTGGGTGTCAACTCTGGAGAGCGTAGCACCCCGCTGCCCTCTCAACCTCGCTGCCCAAACCCCAGGCCCGGACGGGCCCGAACCTGGAGGGAAGGCAGCCGATGAGGGCGTGGAAGACATTAGGAAGAAAAGGAACGGCCAAGACTCTTTTTTCTTTAACAAGCATTTAACTCTGCATCAGGAGACGCCAACACAGTATTCTCTTTCAGCCAGGTCAGCATCTGGAGCTCCACGCCAGCTGGCAGGGGAGGACGGGCTCTGTAACTTATTCGCATCTGTGGGCTTTTGACGGGACTTCCCTAGGCCAGCGTGCAGGACCTAAACCAGGCACAGCCTGCAAAGCCGAAACCCACTGCCCTTCGGCCCCTAGACAGACACAGAAACTGCTTAGCGTGGGGATCGGGGGTCCCGGGGACAGTGAGCTGCCTCATGGCCCTTGCCCTGCACCCCCTGCCCTCCTCCCCTCCTGCCTCTGCTATCCACTTAAGATTCATGGGACAGGAAGGAAAGGGAGAAGAAGTAGGCCAAAAAACAGCCCCCATCCCAGTCCTGAGTGTCAGCGAGGCAAGGTGAAGGACTTGAGCTCAGCTTGTCAGCACAAGCGGAAGCATGAATTTATGCTATTGATGGGAACATGACAAATGGGGACAGACCTTCAGAGTGGATGCTAGTGAAGGTCATTGAATGGGGTCCTCTCTCAATGAGCCAGCTGGTTCTTGTAAACAACGTTTTATTACAAGTAACTGCCTAGCCTCTACCTGTACTTCTATCCAGACTTTAACTGGTAAGAGACTTGAGGCGAGGGAAGATGGAGCGGGAGGCCTGCAGTCCACAGAGAGGCAGCCGAGCCCAGGGCAAGTGTGCTGACGCCGCACACGTGAGAGAGGCTCTGGCCCTATGGGGAGGGCGTTGTGCAGTGCCAGGCAGTCTGAGGGCGCGTGTAGACCTTTCCAGTCTGATTATACGGGAGTCCTTGCCCAGCATGCATAGTGCTGTTGCTACTGAGAATCACCTGCTCACCCATCCACCCGCCCATCCATCCATCCATCCATCCGTTCACTCATTCGTTCATTGCAATAAGTCTTAATGGAGCACTTATTTAGTGCTGACAGGATCTCCTACCCTCTTTAGGCTTGAGAGAAAGTAGATTTTCAAACACCATTTTGACCACACAAAAAAAATGGCAACTTTTTTCTCTTTATCTCCTCAGTCTGATGTTTTCAAGGACTCTGTTCGTCTATATTCAAGAATTCCTCCTCTGGATTCCAATTCTAAAAATCGAAGCCGTGGCTTCACCTAACTGCAGGCAGAAACGGAATCCTGAGAGCATAGCGCTAGGAGAGGCATATCCTAGTCAGCGGGGCCTCTTTCCAGAGCCCCCTGATGCCAGAGCTGGGAGGGTGGCCACCTGGAGAGAAGGGACTGGAGAAGCCCCATCTCACACCTGGCTCCAAGCTCCTGGGGTGCAGGGCCCAGGCCTGCCCGCCTTTAAGTGCTGCTTTTGAAGAAGGAGAGTGAATTCCTAACTGCTGGGGATTGATCCCCAGGGGACACAGGGCAGGGGCAAGGTGGGAAATAGAAAAGAGCCAGTATTCTTTCCTGCAAATTGGGAACAAATGGTGCCCGCAAGGCCCCTGTGCTCCTCCAGGTCCCCAGGCCACGATTTGGAAGTGGGAGCTGTTTCCAGCACAAGTTCCAAAGATGGGGTTTGCAGGGAGGCCCCAAGAGTAGCCACCGCCAGGCCGGCCTTAGCTCCCCAAGTATGAGAGGCCTGGGGGTTGCTCCCAGGCACTCCCAACCTCCAGGAAGACCTTCCCCACCCACATGTTCTCCTGGGCCCCGGCCCTGCATTTGTTCAGAGCAAACTAGAAATTCCTGACCTCCTTCTCTGGATACATGAGGGTCCCTGTACTCTCAACCTTTCCTAATACAGGGACAAGAAGACCTGTCGAAGGGCAGCCACCCCAATTACAGCTCCTCTGAGTGAGAGCTGGGACTAGGGGTAGAGGGGGTGGACAGGGAAAAAATCAGTCCTGGAGCTGGGCCAGTTGACATCTGCCTCATTTCCCAAGCCCCGACCCTCCACTGCCCTGCGGCCTCCATGGCCCGGCCAGCAGGAGCCAGGTGCCACATGCTAACGTGGAAGGGCCTCTCTATGGAATAAACCAGAGGCTGCAAAGAGGAAATGCAGGAGGAGGCGGGCCTGTGGAAGAGAGGGGTGTTTCCCACTCTGCCTGTGGAACCAGGAGCAGGGTGGGGAGGCAGGGGACAGGCAATGGGCAAAGGGCTGCTCTGGCTCGTGTGCAGGTGACAAAGCCTTGTCCTCACTATTCTTACTACACGCCAGGACCTAAGTGTGAAGTGGCCACTTCTCATTAAAAACCACCTTCCATCGTTACTGAAATAAAAAGAGAGGGAGAGAAGAATACCGCGGGGGAAATGTATATTCTAAATCACATTCGCCTTTTATCCGTGCACCCAGATCAGCCGGTATCCAGTAGCCAAGCACGGGAAAAAGGACCGAAAACCCAAAAGTGATTAAATAGGGTGCGGGATATTGCAGTCGGGGAGCCGTAGGGAGGGGCCATCCTTCAGATGTCGCCATCCTTCAAGGCTTCATTTTCCATAGTCTGGTTCTCCCGGGGTTTCTCCGGAGCCCCGACACTCACATGTGGTCGAGCCTCCAGGAATGCCAGGCCTGTTGCTCACTGTGTCTCTCTCACTCTTCTCTCACGTTTAGGAAAATCCCTCCTGCGGCAGATAGCCCCATGCCCTCGCCAGCAGCCCACATCACCACCCCCGTTCCAGCATCCGTGTTACAGCCCTTCAGCCACCCCAGTGCTGTGTATCTTCCTTCAGCTCCCATCAGCTCGAGACTCACCTCTTCTTACATCATGACATCAGCCATGCTCCCCAACGCAGCTTTCGTGACATCGCCGGACCCAAGCGCCCTCATGCCACACCCCACAGCTTTCCCTCATGTGGCCGCAACCCTCAGCATCATGGACTCAACCTTCAAGGCCCCATCCGCCGTGTCCCCGATACCAGCCGTCATCCCTTCCCCATCCCACAAGCCATCCAAAACCAAAACCAGCAGATCCTCAAAAGTCAAAGACCTGTCTGCGCGGAGCGACGAGCCTCCAAGTAACAAAAAGAGGAAGCCGCAGTCGTCGACTTCCGCCTCGTTCTCCTTGCAGACCTCCCTCCCGTCCCCCTTGTCAGGGCCCCACAAAAAGAACTGTGTTCTGAACGCCAGTTCCGCTTTGAACTCCTACCAGGCGGCTCCGCCCTATAACAGTCTGTCCGTGCACACCTCCAACAACGGGGTGAGCCCACTCAGTGCCAAACTGGAGCCCCCAGGACGGACCTCGCTGCCCGGCGGGCCCCCGGACATAGGGAGACACCTGGGCTCCGTGGGCGGCAGCGACTCCTGTCCCCTGGCAGTGCCCTCCCTCGCAGGTGACCTCTCTCTGGCCTCACACAATGCCGTGTCTTCTCTGCCCCTCTCTTTTGACAAATCAGAAGGAAAAAAGCGTAAGAACTCGAGTTCTAGTAGCAAAGCCTGTAAAATCACTAAAATGCCTGGTATGAATAGCGTTCACAAAAAGAACCCGCCCAGCCTTCTCACACCGATGCCCGATCCCGTTAACAGCACCTCCTCTCGGCAGGTAAGGGACCCGTCCAGCCAGGGCCCTCCTGGCACTGCCTCCTCAGCCCCAGGGGCAGCGGGAGCCGGGCAGCGCCCCTGCTTAGCCAGGTGACTGTCTCGTTGTCCCCATAGGCCACTGCCCCTCTCTGCTGGGAGAGCGGTTACTTAACCGATACTTTCTACCCTAAGCACCTTGCAAATATTTCCTCATTTAATCCTCACAGCTACCCAGTGCGGTTGGTACTGTTGTCATCACCACCTTACAGAGGAGGAAACTGAGGCACAGCGAGACCCTGAGTTCCCCCACTCTGCTTCCATTTTCTATCTGGAGCTTCTGAGGATGATTTTGTTAAAGGGTTCTGTTGCCACGGAGTTTTATCTGATCTGTTGGAGTCCCCTTAGGAAGAGCTGAGGCCAGGCAGGTTAAATTGTGACCAGGGTCTCACCTGGGGGTGATGGCTCGTGCTTCCAGCCCCCAGGGGACTGTTCCCACTTTACCTGGCTGCCTCGATGCCCCTGCCCCCCACCCCCTTACTGATACAACTCTTTTTTCCCAAAAGTAGAACTAACAGCAACTGGCACAGAACTGTGCGATGCCACAGTACAAATAGGGGGGCGTGTTGTGAGGGGAGCTGTGGGAACGTGGCGTGGTCCAGGGAGAGTCTGTGTGTCATTCCCTTGTGTTCTGTTCACACCCTCGAGTCGAGTCTGTCTCCCAGGCTGGGGAAGCGACTTCGGAGAGTCCCCACCCGCGCCAGATGGTGCCATTGGGCTCAGCGGAGAGAGAGAGTGCCAGAGGGGCCGCTCGCAGGCCTGCCCTGGGCCTTGCACCTGCCAGGGCAGCACACAGATGGCCGCAGCCCCAGGTTCACGGCCGCAGAATGAAGTGGGCCGGACCCTGAGCCCAGCCCCATCTGGGGACGAGGACTCGGGAGAGACGAGAAGCAGTTGTTAAAAAGATGTTTTATTGCTTTGTGTCGTCTTTATATGAAACTTGTTAAAACCTCACGAAGAGAGCATCCAGAGGGGGATTCACAAATCACAAGTAAACACTGGAGAAGCAGCAAGTTTGCATCCCAAGCGCCAGACAAGCTGCCACCGAGGCCAAGGAGAGAGAGGGGAGGACATAGGTCACCTCACTGGAGCCCGGCCCCTCGAACATGTGTGCAGCTGCCGCAGATGTGCTTGCTGCCTTCTGGCTCCTCGGTGCCAGGGCTGCAGGGGGAGGGGGCCAGCAGCCGCAGGGCCCTACGCTGAGGCTCACCCGTGGGTCAGTGCCACCTCCAAGTGCGGATGGAGGGCACAGCCAGGACTTCCGAAGATTAAATGTGCACGGAATTCCCTGGGGGTCGCAGGTTCTGAGTCAGCAGGTGGGTTGGGGGGCGGGGCAGGGGGAGGGGGCGTTCAGAGTCTGCATTTCTAACAGGCCACTGGTTTGCAGGCCACACCCTGAGTGGCCAGGCTATACTATCACCCATTTTAGATAAAATCCTAGCAGCTAACACTTAGGACAGTGGTTCTCAACCTTCTGGCCCTTTAAATACAGTTCCTCATGCTGTGACCCAACCATAAAATTATTTTCGTTGCTACTTCATCACTGTAATGTTGCTATTGTTATGAATCGTCATGTAAATATCTGATATGCAGGATGGTCTTAGGCGACCCCTGTGAAAGGGTCGTTCAACCGCCAAAGGGGTCGCGACCCACAGGTTGAGAATCGCTGACTTAGGAGATGGGCTCTGCTCCAAGTACGTCAGATATATTTAACACGTAGCCATTACCTTTATTACTGCCCTTTTATAGATGAGTAAACCAAGGCACAGGAAGGTTCAGCAATGTGCCCAAAGTCACACAGCAAGTAAATAGTAGGGCTGGGATTTAAACCAGGCAGTTTAGCTCTGGAGTCTGGGCTCTTCACCCCCAGGCCCCTAATGTGTTAGTGGAGTGCCTCTGTGTTGAGTAAATATCGCTCTGTTGACTGTTTGGTCTGCCGGACCATGGGACATGTTCAGTAAACACTGTGAACCAGTCACCACCAGGGTGAGAGGAGCAGACAAGCCTCCCCCCGCGAGGGTCCGTCAGGAAGGAAATCCAAAAAGCTGATGACATCCGAAACGGCTGCCTTGGGTCTAGGTGGTACCTAGGTGCTTGTCACCAGGCCATTAAGAAAAGGCTTTGTCCAGGGTGACCACCGGTGATTTCCGAATGTTAGGGAAAAGCCTTTGGAATCTGTGTTGATTCTCTTAGGAGATTGGAAGGGGCGTGGTGTGAGATTGAGAAATTCAAGGTAAACATGTGCTTTGGGGACCAATTGAGGTTCTGTTTCATTGTTTCTGATAGATGTAAGGCCAGAATTTGCCACAGAAGTATTAAATTAAACAAAAAGACTGCAAGTGTAAGGCAGATGTCCTTATGCAAAGCTGAATTAATGTAGAAGGTCAGCTCTTTTCTTACATACATATTTTTTTAATTTATTTCAGAAAGGAAGGGAGAGGGAGAAAGAGATAGAAACATCAATGATGAGAATCGGCTGCCTCCTGCATGCCCCTCACTGGGGATTGAGCCCCAACCCAGGCATGTGCCCTGACTGGGAATTGAACCATGACCTCCAGTTCATAGGTTGATGCTCAACCACTGAGCCACACCAGCCATGTGAAGGCCGGCTCTTTACAGGCCAAAGGCGGGAGCTGCCTCTGGAACGGTACTTGCCTGAGGACCAGTCCATATGTGCCAAGGACAGTCACATGCTCCCAGGGCACTGTCCAAGGACCAGCTCAGCCTCCCATGGAAGAGGAAGCCCAGTGCCATCTTGCCATTTTTCTCAGGAACAGGAAGGTGTGCACTGTGTCTCCTGCCTGAGAAAACTGACTGAGAAAAAGGCCCAAGCTTTTATCCCCCGCTGGTCCTCGGGAGGCTGAGCTAGAAATAAGTGGGTCTAGAACTGAGTTCAGAGGTGGAGGAGTTTGTGTAACCCTTTGGCCACAGAAAAGCTGGCCTCTGTGGAGTTCAATGCTCCCGGTGGCAGGGTGGCGGGGTGGGGCGGGGCAGGCCTCTAGCCAGTTGGCTTTGTCCTCATCCCTAAAACATCCACATCTGGGAAGCAGAATTGAGTTCCCCTCCATTATGCTTTCCCTCTGGGGTGAGAGTGGCATCCTCAAGGCACCCCCTGAAACATTTTCGTTTTCGCTGCCGTTTAAAGTGGACGCGAGGAGAATGAGCAGGTTATTACTCAGTCCTCTCCTTTCCCTGTTGGCACGTGGTCTTGGCGGGCCTTCCCCACGCTGGCTCATGATCTGAGTAGGGCTTCGCTGGTGTCTTTCAGGTTGGGAAAAATAGCAGCCTCGCTCTGTCACAGTCCAGCCCTTCCAGCATATCCAGCCCAGGACACAGCCGACAGGTAAGTTACTGGGGGAGGCTAAAGTGCATGAGGCCATCAGCGGGGTGGGAAGAATGTGGGTATTTGGGTCAGATCCTGGTTCACATCTCATCTCCAGTTAACAGCATGGCTGTCTGGCTTCCAAAGTTAGTACTTATTAGCTGTGTGCCCTTGGGTAAGTTACTTAACTCCTCTGTGCTTCCGTTTCCTCGCCATAAGATGGGGATTATAATGGTCCCTACCTCATAGGGCTTTTGTGAGGATTAAATTAATTTATTCACATAAAGCCTCTAGAAAATGCCCAATATAACACACAGGTATTAGCTATTGTTATTATTAGCAGCTGTGTAATATTAGGCAGATTACTTTGAGTCTATTTTTTTTTTCATCTGTTAAATGGCAAAATCAATGCCTACCCCCTAAGATTACTGTGAAAATTAAATAAGATGATGTTGACTAAAGGGCCTTACTAGTGGCAGCTTTCTCAAGGCCTCTGGGGAGCTAGAGCTACCATTCAGAGCGTGGTTCCAAGCTGGGAATATTCAGGGTAGGTATAGGAGTTTTATAAACTTGAGGTGTGAGAGTTAGTCAGTGTGTAAATAATTTTCTCCATTGGAGAGTGTGTGCATCCGGGGGAGGCCAGGGAGCGCAGGGGGCGGGTTTCTGCATGCCATGCGTGATTGGAAAAAATACAGCTATGGCTGCGTTGTGTTGTCTTGGATATGCCGTAAGCTTTGCAGACGACAAATTGCAATGTATTTGTCTGCATTTTGGCCTTTGGGGTTTCCTCACAAATCTGGGGTAGAATTTGGGTGAAGGTTATAGGGAAACAGTCTTTGTATCCCCAAATCAAGGAAGGTGCCTCCATTATTTTGAGTCGCTATGGCCCTGTTGGGGCCTGAGCACCTGCCACCCATCCTCTGTGCCCGGAGTGGGTGGGGGTCTCACCTGTGCGCAGGCAGACCTCCTGCACAGGTGGCTAGTGCGCCTGCCCGGTGCTCCGGGCCCGCCTATGGGAACCCGAAACGCTGGCAGTCAGCCTTAAGGAATGTGATAGCAATGATAATAGCTCTCGTTTGTTGAGCCCTTTCTCTGCAGGTGCTGGGCCAAACAGCCTTTACATGCATTTAGACCTTTAACAAACCCTGTGAGAGACAAAACAATTATCCTCATTTTATATAGATGAAGATGACTGGACTAAGAGGCTAAGTAACTTGAACCCAAAACCTCTATCTCAGCCGTGGGCAAACTACGGCCCGTTTGAAATGAATAAAACTAAAAAAAAAAAAAAGACCGTACCCTTTTATGTAATGATGTTTACTTTGAATTTATATCAGTTCACACAAACACTCCATCCATGCTTTTGTTCCGGCCCTCCGGTCCAGTTTAAGAACCCATTGTGGCCCTCAAGTCAAAAAGTTTGCCCACCCCTGCTCTATCTGCATAGTCTCTATGCTTCACCCATCACTCTGCCTCTTCCTTAGATAATTCCCTGTGCTGTCTGTAGGTTAGATAGGAAACATCCCAGGTGAACTAATAGAGAAAAAAAGAGAACTCAGGCTTATTCTGGTCCTCTCTCCTGGAGAGAACCCCATGAGTGTCCACAGGATTCATCCCTGCATTTATGGAGTCCTTTACAGCCATCCCCTCAATTGCTCATTACAGCTGCCTTTGGCTGCTGTAGGAGTTGGGATGGTATCCTTTCTGTTACAGATGAGAAATCGCACTCTGGTCTCGAATCCTCGTGGTAATCCCAAGCTTTCCTTCTTTTCTTTTCTAGAAGACCACAAACAGAACGGGCAGGATAAGGACTCTTCCATAACAAGACTATGAAGCCACTTCCAATCCAATGCCTGGCCTCTGGTCCCACCCAGGGGGCCAAGGGGGCAGGGAGTGGGCAGTGGGGGATCCACTTCCTGGGCCCGCCTGTGGCTCTGGCCTTTCTTTTTCTTTTTTTAATGACCAATTTTTAGTTTTGGAGAAAAAGAAAAAGGCAAAAGAACGTGAATTTGAGATTTACAGAAAACAGTACCAGTGTTTTGTTTTCGTTGTCTTTCGTTTGCCACATGTACACATTCTTCCAAGCTCGGGGCCACTCCTCCAGCTTCTGATTCAACTACTGCACCGTCGTCTTGCTCCAGCCACGAGAGCAGACGGTCGGGATGTCAGTTCCCGGTTGGCATCATCGGAAACTCGAACTTTAGCACGTGCAGTGCTCCTTTCCTTGCCCTCGCCCGCCCGCCCATCCCTCCCCACCCATCCCCTCCTACCTGCCACTCACTGGGTCCCCAAGGCCATCACAGGAAGTTGCCTCTCATAAGCTCACCTCTGGACGCTGTGCTGGGGAGGGGCTTTGCTGGGGAGCAGCCGATGGTTGGGGAGCGGAGAACAGAGGCAGGAGGGTGGCCGAGCACACTCATCAGGTTTCTAGGGCGCACCGGGTCCACTGTCCAGCTGTGCAGCTCAGAGAGGATCTACTGGGTCAGGTCTGGACCGGGCCTGGGAAGTGGTAGGAAGCAGAGAATGAGGGTAGGAGAAGCTATCCCTCAGGAGATAGTGGGGATGGGGTGGCTGTGGTCATCTGAGCTTGTTAGGAATCCAGGCTGCAAAACCCCTTCCTGGGTGCCATGTGCAAGAGCCCAAAGCTGGGCGAGCCAGAGAGGGAAGCACCCCCGGGAGAGGGCAGGGGACCCCAGGAAGCCACTCTGAAGAAGGCACGGTGCCCACAGCTGTGGACATTCTCCAGCCGCCCTCCAGGGCTGAGCAAGAAGAGAAAGAAGGAGGGAAGGAAGGATCTGGGGGAAAGCTTCCATGGAGGGCTATGTGTCAAACGCCTGGTGAGAATGAATACTTGCCCCACCCTCACGCCTCTGGGCCCTGGGCCCCAAGGCCCTGGGACTCGGCGCCCCCTATATAAGGGTCTGCTGGGTTATCAGAGGCCCAGCTCAGAGACAGCCACCCCAGGAAAGAGTGGTAAGGCCATGCCACTCCCTAGTGACGGGGAGCGAAGCTGGAGCCCCACAGCTATGAAACTGCTCACACTGGAGTTTGAAAGAAACCCCAATACTGTAAGCTTTAATCAGGAATCAGTCCGGAAAGTAACTCACAGTATAAAGTAAGTGTTCTGTGCTGTTCATCATGTAACTTGGCGAGCGATGCAACGGCGCAGGTAGTAGGAGTGCTTGCTTCATCCCTACATGAGAAAGGAAAGCCGGTGTTGCAGCTGGACACACACCCTCATCCCCACCCTGAAGTTTCCCTTCCCATCCCCACCCCCATCCCAAAGATCAGACTACTGTTAAGTTTCAGCACGGAATTGAATTTCACTAAGACGGGAGGCTAGCGGAGTGATTTGCATCAATGAAATTGCACTGACAGTGTTTCTTATAGGATTACTACAATTTTTTTAATATAAAATGAAGATTTTTTAAAATCATGAGTTGATATTAGGTACCAGGACATTAGTTCAGATGATTTCATTTTTATTTCTACAGTGTTAAAAGTGCACTTATATGCTGGTTTATTTACATCTTGGGAAAAAGAGACTGCAAATTGAAGGGAAGATTGTTACTTTTTCTTTTTTTAAAAAAAAAGGTTAAGGCAGATTTAAGACTTATAAATGTTTAAGAAATTATAAACAAGATTAGAACCTTTGAAAAAAAAGTTTAGAAGATATTCTTAAAGTAAATTTTTATAGTGTTAATTTTGTAATAATTTATGTTTTACTATATTACAGAGCTAACTGACCAGAATAGTTTCAGAAACAATATGAAACTTAGGAAAGTTTAAGCAATGTTTATATTTTTAAAATGTTCTTTGGATTATGTTTTTATTGTACATTTCTTCAGACTGAAAAGTATGTACATATCTGTTATTTTTGCACAATTTTTGTCTTGTTCAGTTTTAGACGTCTGTGTGTTGTTGTTGTTTTTTTATAATTTATTTTGAGTTGTAAAACTTGCAGGAGTAAAAACAAAACGAAAAAAATCTCAGCAACAAAATAACCCTCTGATCTATAAACTCTTAACATCCAAAGAGGGAAAACGAAGGTCGAGAGATGAAGTGGCTGCTTCTGCGAAATAATGTCTGGACAGGGACTAAAGGAGCAATTCAATCATCGGCGTAAACGTTTTCGCTCTCTACATCTAGAATTGCAAGCTGGGATAGAGAGGCTACCCACCGAATGCTGCTGACTTGGTGAAAGACTGGCTCTGACCAAGGCGAGGACATTTCTGGAAAACTGAGCAAAAAGGGAAAACCCACAGTGTTTCTTCCTTCACAGTCAACCACAGGTTTACTTTATAACAATGTATTCGAAACTCACAGCTTGAAAAAATGGAATGCAAATAAAAGGTTTTCTATGGTTTTGTTTTAATGGAGTTCAACTGGACCAGCCTCTAAAGCACTATTCGGGTGATCAATCCCCTTTGGGTACTTCTTGTTCTGCCCACCCCACTCAACCCTCTCTCCCAGCCCCGTGACTGCACACCCCACACCCCCCCCATTTGCCTGAAGATCTCGCGACTTGTCGCCAGCCACAGAGGCTCGAAAGCTCTGGTTGTTAAGCATAGCGCAATGCCTAGACCCGTCAGCCATAAAAACAAAGCGACTTGGATAACTTGTATGCCTTCTTTTGTATCAAAGTACCAATTGTAAATAACGCTGATCAACCTTTGTAGAGAATAGTTTATACAGCATATTCTATTATTGCTGATTCTCAGTGAACTCTTGTTTTGAAAAAAGGAAAAAAAGAAATTTTCTATTTACACCTTCTATTTTGTTATGCTGTTGGCCCATGGCACTTTAACAAAACTGTGGGTTTTACGTAGCTGGTCAGTCATGGGGTATATTAAATAACTGTTGTTGCACAGACAAGAATTTGCACCTGCTCACTTGTCCTTTCCTACTACCGACTTCAGAACCTTTTCCAGAAGAATTTTGAAGAAAGCATGTCCAAGCATTCTAAGCAAATGCCACACTTGTGGAGTGGGTTTCTCCTTTTCTACGATCCGCATTTTGTAACACTAGGTCTTTTCCTTCTTTGTCCCGCACCTTTATGTGTTAGCACTATCAGAATTCATTCCATGCCTGTGATATTGTAAGAATAAATGTCTAAAGTAGGTGTAAATAGTAAACTCTATGGCTTACAGTTTTAAAAAGGAAAGAACAAACATGTATCTATTGATACCGCCATGGTTCCGCACCAGGCCTGGAGACATTCTCCAGTGAGCGATTTGTTTTTTTGGCTTTTTTTTTTTTTTTTTTTTTTTTTTGTAACATGGCTTTGTAAATAAAATAATTTATATGTTTGTAAAACAAAGTCTTTGGGTTTTCATAAAATTTAGATTTTTGTTATTTCTCTTTTGTCTTTTGGGTGAATGTGTTTTCGCCAGGCGAGCCTTACTGCTAGGACATACATTTGAGGCATAGAAGAGAAGAGAGTGGATTCATTCAACAAATACTTATGGAACATCCTGGCTGCGGCTGCCCCTGAGCTAGGCGCTCTGTGCTTAGTGATGAGAAACAGACAAGAGTCCCAGCTGCTTTCTGCAAGCAGCTCAGTGGGAGAGACAGTAAATAAACACAGGATCAAATGTGTAATTACAGATATCGGCAAATGCTATGACTCTCTGAGAGAGAAAATAGGAGAAACTGACAAAGTGTGTGAGGGGAGTGCTGTCAGGGAGTTTTCTCTGAGGAAGTCAGCTGCCGGCACAGTGTGGAGAGAATCCCAGGCAGAGGTGGTCCAAGGCAGAAAAAGTTCGGTACGTTCCCAGAGCCCAGGGAACACCCACTGTGGGTGGAGCAGGGGAGAGAGATGGACAGGAGACAAGGACAAGCTCACAAAAGGCTCTCAGAGTTTGGGTTTTGTACTTAATTCAGCAGGAATCCTTTGGAGGGCTTCAGGAACATGGCATACTCTGACATGTTAAAAGGTCCTCTATAAAAGAAAAAAAGAAGGGATTTAAAAAAAGAAAGAAAGAAAGAGAAAAGACCCTCTAGCTGCTGTGTGGAGAATTGGATGCTTTTGCAAGCGACCGGGTGAGACATGTCAGGGAGGCCCCAGGATGGCTGCCGCAGAGAGAAAGAGAAGTGAGTAGACTCGATAAACTGAGATACAGAGTAAATTGACAAGACTTGCTTAGGAATTAGATACAAGAGTAAGGAAGGGGGGTGGGTGGCAATAGGGGAATAAGGACACATATGTAATACCTTAATCAATAAAGAAATTTTAAAAAAGAAAAGAAAAAGAGTAAGGGAAAGAAGACTCCCGGTTCTGGTAGAGCAGTGGTGTTGGGTGCAGATGCCATTTCTTCAGCTGTGGGAAACCAGAGAAAGAACAGGCTATTTAGGGGGCCGGTGGGAGGACCATTTCATGATGATCAAAAGTTCTGTTTTGTGCATGTATGTTCATGTATGAGATTACTATGAAATGCCTTCCTGTGTCAAGAAGGCATGGTATACACATGACAGAAGCTAACAGCAGGTCTAAGTTGGAGGCATCGATTTGGGAATCGTTAGTCTATGAGTGACATTTAGAGTCACGGGTATGGATCTGATTACTTGAGAGAGTGTAGGAGAAGAGCAGCTATTTGGAGGTTGGTAAGGTGGAAGCAGAACACTAGCCAAGAGAGACTCTTACGATGAAGCATTCTCAAAGAGCAGAGAGAACCCAGTAGGAAATGGTTCTCTGGAAGACAGGACTGTAAGAGGTTTCAAGAAAGGAACCATCGACTGAGTCCAGTTCTGCTGTAAAATGGAAGATGTAGCCCTAGCTGGTTTGGCTCAGTGGATAGAGCGTCAGTCTGTGGACTGAAGGGTCCCAGGTTCGATTCCTGTCAAGGACACATGCCTGGATTGCAGGCTCGATCCCCAGTGTGGGGAGTGCCAGAGGCAGCCGATCAATGATTCTCTCTCATCATTGATGTTTCTAGCTCTCTCTTTCTCTCCCTTCCTCTCTGAAATCAATAAAAATACATTTTTAAAAAAAAAGCAAAGAGAAGTTGTGGTATCTGTGTTGTTGCTGGAGATTCCTGCCTTTAAAGAAGATAAAAGGAAGCTGTCGATCGTATTATGTCTGGTTTTGCAACAGAGGCCATTGGTGACTCTTAGTTTCCAAAGCTGCCAGAACGAATGACCACAGCTTAGTGGCTTAAAACTACATAAAAGTATTCTCTCAGAATTCTGGAGACCCGAAGTCCAAAACCGCACAGGGCTGCATTCCATCCGAGGGCTCTGGAGGAGAATCCTGCCTTGTCTCTTCCAGTTTCTCATGCCCGCCAGCCGTCCTTGGCTTATAGATGCATCACTCCCATTTCTGCCTCCATCTTCACCTGGACGTCTACCCTGGGTTTCTCCTGGGTCTCAAACCTCCCACTGCCTTGCTCTTATGAGGTCATCTTCATTGGACTTAAGGCCAACCCTAAATCCTGGATCATCTTGTCTCAAGATTCTTAATTACATTTTTTTCTCCAAATAAGTTCACACTCCCGGGTCTAAGGGTTAGGACTTGAACATATCTTTTGGGGGATTATTACTCAACCCACTACAGTGACCTTAGCAAACAAAGCATGTATGATGGAGAGGTAGGAGCCAGGGCCAGACTGGAGTGGTTGGAAGGAAATTCGGTTGTGTAGACAAATCTTAAGGAGGTTAAAAGGCACGTGGGAGTGTTGGAATTGGCTTTTATTTTTGTTTTACTGGGTTTTTGTTGTTTTTTTAAGGTTTTTAAAAATTGATTTTTAGAGATAGAGGAAGGGAGAGGGGGAGAGAGAAACATGCACGCTCCCTACTGCAAACTGAACCAGCAACCTTCCCATGCCTGGGATGATGCCCAACCAACTGAGCCGAACCATTTGGCGTGGATCTGGCTTTTGTTGTTTATTTTGTTTTTCAAGAGAGATTACCGTTCTCGTGCTGGGATAGCAGAGGAGGGAAAGGTTAAAGAAGCAGGAGAAGGACAAATTTCCCAACAAGCGAGGTCCTTGAGAAGGCAAGAGCGAGGTAAGCCCAAACATATGTGGAGATGTTCACCTTTTTTATTGTTAAGAGATAAACTGAGGCTTATTAAAATTTCTAAGAATTTATTTGAGCAGCACCAAACCCAGAAGTGGTTAGGAGCACTCCACTGACAGGAGCTCAGGGAGAGACTTTTAGAAAAGGCAAAATAGGGAAATTATTGATTGGCTATAGTCAATAATCGAATGGGAAGGAAAAACACGACTCAAGGGCTTTATTTTTATTTTTGCAAGAATCAAGATGCATGTTTTGGTTTTGGTTTGCAATTTTTTTAAGTCTTTTGGTTCTGTCTGACTAATAAACAGAAACTGTTGATATGGATTAGATGCTCAGCACTAAGTAGAGGACTGAATTTCTCTGCAAAAGGGGGCAACAGAGAGGTGCTTCCAGGGTCTGCGCTCACCTTCAAAGGCTTGGAGGATGTCCCCACCAGCTCCATGCTGAGCCCAGCTTTGTGCAACATTTTAATTAATGAACTGGCATTCAAAGTAACCTTGGTGAATGAAAGCCATGAACATAAACAGATGGCTTTATAGGATAGCTGTTACCTTTCGGGAGAGCCCCAGGGAGGTTTCTGGCGCTGGCAATGTTCTGTATCTTGACCTGGGAGCTTGTTAAATGAATATAATCACTGGTGAAATATTCATCAGGTTGTATAGTTAAGATTCATTCATTTCACTGTGCACTTTGAAATTTAAAAGTTTACACACAGACCAAAAGGTGAATGGCAGACTGGAGTGCGATTGTCTTAGCAGAAAGAAGAAAGTTACCAAGTAGTTTGAAAAGAATACTAATGAGAAGCCCATTTCCAGTCCCCGCCCCCCCTCAACTCCCCAAAGGTAGTAGGTGCAACAGAGAAGGGGGTGCAGCCATGGGTAGAAAATAGGAAAGGGGGGGGTTGAAAGTCTCACATGAGGTTGTTGGATCCCTCAGAACTCCCTTCACCTCCCACATACAGACAAGTGGCTACTCATCCACACCCCACCCCTTAGCAAGCGACTGAAGGGTTATTTTTTGGGAAAAATAAATGGAACACTGAGATTCTGAATTCAAGGTTACCAGGCCCAGCAGAGAAAGTTCCCTTGGGGTGGGGGGGGGGGGGGGATGAGGCACGAGGTTGTCTCTTTTCATCATAAACTGTAGAATATTAATTTGCCACAATATCATGCTGTTTTGATATTTTAATAATTTAGAGTGTAATATCAATGTTCATAATTAATGACAAAATATATGGAAGCCATTAGGTGAGCTCATGTTAGTACAGTACAATGCAATGTTTGGCTCGTGGCATGGCAGCTTAAAAAGTCTGGGTACAGCCCTAGCCCGTTTAACTCGGTGGCAAGCA